TAACTAGTCAAAGTACCTGAAATAACTGTGTGACTTACTGAGCTGTCACATCAGGGGTTAAACGTTTATGGAAAATTGTACAAAAAATTCTGAATCTGCACCAGAACCTAACAACCCCCCCCTTTTCACTGAAGTCTGTTGACATGTTTGTAGGTATCCTAGTAACAAATAAACAAACAAATGGCACTGAAAACACAACCTCCTCAAATACAGAAGCGTGTTTCATCAGTTTCTGGCAGTCTCCAGCCATTGGTGTAGAGCAGAAGATCAGTGTGAATGAGAAGTCATTTTTTTACTCTAATTTGTTGCATGGGTATGGTAATATTAATACAGTTTGTTAAATTGTGTGTGTGCTTACAGTATATTGCCTTTATTGGATAGGTTACAATAGAGAGAGGCAGACAGGCAGTGAAGAAGAAGAGAGAAGGGCTGAACTGAACAGGAGAGGGGTAGTAATATGGGATGATTCTAAATGCCTAGTCCACCAGGACTCTCCAAAAGGGCCGCGACTAACGATTATATTCATTATAAATTGTCGATCATTGTCTAAATTAATTGTTGTTTGGTCCATAAAATGTCAAGTTGATGTCTTGTTTTCTCCACAACCTAAAGATATCCAGTTTACGAAGAAACTAGAAAATATTCACATTTGAGAAGTAGAGGTGGGCAATATATATCGTTTGCGATAATATCATCATTGTTGTTTTGACGATGTGCAAATTTCCATTATCGAGTATTTAAATTACTTCGCCAAAAATATTGAAACGCATGCGGAAACTCCTCACATCCACGTAATACACGGTGCAGCAACGCTCTGTACAGCATGGCAGGATTCAGTCACATGACTAGCGGGCCTACGTGGTCACATGACGTGATCATGTGACCTCTCGCTAGCATCCTCCTTGCCATCCCCAAAAATAACGAGATATAATTTTTTGCCCATATCACCCACCCCTATTGAGAAGCTGAAATCAGAGAATTTTGACTTTTTTTTTTTTTAATGACTCAAAACTGAATAATCTATTGTCAGAACAGTTGGCGATTGATTTATTAGTTGACATTTAATGAATTTAGTGACTAATTGTTGCAACTCTACTCTCCAGTTCGTATTTTTACTTGCATGGTGGTACAAAGCAGTTTTTATAGTGTCAGTTCACGTGTGTGGTTGGCACTAACCAGAGAGTGTTCCATTGCTATATAGTTAAGTGATATTGTAACCCAGTGTTGGGCAGTAAGGCATTACTAGTAATAATATTGTTTATATACTTTCCCCAGTAACTAGTAGTGTTACTGGGGTTGTAACTAATTACTGATATTTCTTTCCCAAATAACTAGTTGTAACAAATCACTAATACATTTCAGTAATCATTTTTTTCAATTCAATTCAATTCAATTTTATTTGTATAGCGCCAATTCATAACAGAAATTATCTCAGGACACTTTTCAAATAGAGCATGTCTAGACCGAATAGCATTATTTACAGAGACCCAACAGTACCACCATGAGCAAGCACTTGGCGACAAGGGCAAGGAAAAACTGCCTTTTAAGAAGCAGAAACCTAGGACAGACCCTTCAACTCTAGGTGGGTGGTTGTCTGTCTCGAGCAGTTGGGGTGAGAGAGAGAGACAGAGAGAGAGACAGACAGACAGACAGAGGTGCACAGCAACAACAGTAGCAACAACTACACTAATAGTAGTGACTGATGATGATGAACATGAAGAAGATGACGACGACAACAACAATGGGGGATAATGAGCAGTGATTATAGTAATAATAGTAACTGTAGTAATAATGATATTATTAATAATAATAATAACAATAATATCAGTGATATTAGCAATGGCAGTCAAGCAGGACCATGGCAGGAGGCTCCACCAGGATCCATGAGAACCTGCGAGAGGAGAAAGCACAAGAACTCCAGGGAAGAAGTGAAGTTAGTAACATGCATTAATGGGACATGAATGAGTGCAGAAAGAGAGAGGAAGAGAGGAGCTCAGTGCATCATGGGAAATCCCCATAGTCTAGGCCTATAGCAGCATAACTAAGGGATGGTTCAGGACTCACCTGATCCAGCCCTAACTATAAGCTTTATCAAAGAGGAACGTCTTAAGCCTACTCTTGAATGTGGTGAGGGTGTCTGCCTCCCGAACCACAACTGGAAGCTGGTTCCACAGGAGAGGAGCTTGGTAACTTAAGGCTCTGGCTCCTGTTCTACTTTTAGAGACTATAGGAACCACAAGTACCCCTGCATTCAGAGAACGCAGTGTTCTAGTGGGGTAATAGGGTACTGAGAGTTCTTTAAGATATGAAGGGGCCTAACGAATGAAGAGCTTTGTAGGTGAGGAGGATTTTAAATTATATTCTGAATTTTACAGGGAGCCAGTGCAGAGAAGCTCATACAGGAGAGGTATGATCTCTTCTCCTAGTTCCTGTCAGTACTCGTGCTGCAGCGTTCTGAATTAATTGGAGTGTCTTAATGGACTTATTGGGGCAACCTGATAATAAGGAATTGCAGTAATCCAGCCTAGAAGGTTTGCTTTATGTGGGAATTAAATGACATGTCCTGATCAAAGATAACTCCAAGATTCCTGATAGTGGTGCTAGAGGCCAAGGTATTAGAGTAACTATATCTTTAGACAGTGAGTTTCTAAGGTTTTTGGGGTCAAGTACAAGAATTTCATTTTTTTCTGAGTTTAACATCAGAAAATTGCAGCTCATCCAGGATTTTATGTCCTTAAGACATGTTTGTAATTTAGATAATTGATTAATTTCACTAGGCTTGATCAATAGATATAACTGGGTATCATCTGCATAACAACGAAAGTTATTGGAGTGATTCCTAATAATGTTGCCTAAAGGAAGCATATATAAAGTGAATAGAATTGGTCCAAGTACAGAACCTTGTGGAACTCCATGACTAACTGTAGTATTTATGGAAGATTCATCGTTAACGTGTACAAACTAAGAACGATCTGATAGATAGGACTTAAACCAGCTTAGTGCAGTTCCTTTAATGCCAATTTGATGCTCAAGTCACCCCAACTGGTCGAGACAGACGACCACCCACCTAGAGCCGGAGGATCTGTCCTAGGTTTCTGCCTTTTAACAGGCAGTTTTTCCTTGCCCTTGTCGCCAAGTGCTTGCTCATGGTGGTACTGTTGGGTCTCTGTAATTAATGTTAAAGAGTTCGGTCTAGACCTGCTTTATTTGAAAAGTGTCCTGAGATAACTTCTGTTATGAATTGGACAGTCCATTGTCGGAAGCAATCAAAAGGTCGTTAGTAACTTTAACCAGTGCTATCTCTATGATGTGATGAACTCTAAATTCTGACTGAAAATCCTCAAAAAAGCTGTTGCTATGTAGAAAGTCACACAACTGCTTGGCGACTACTTTCTTTTCTTGTTACAGAAAATAATTAGTTACAACAATACTTTCGTTGTCACCCCCTACTGATCGAACAATCCAAACACATCCTTAATTTCTGTAGCCATGGAGAAAACTGGGAAATGTTCCATTACTTTGATTTTAACAAACAAAACTGGATTTCAAAGCTGCAATAGGTAACTTTTATCATGTCATATTTGCTGAAACTTTCACTATATCCTGACAGTAGTACATGAGATCATCAGGTTCCTCTGGCTCCTCCTAGTGCTTCTGATGGCATAAGGCGCGTTCGAGATGAGCCAGGCCTGTGCCAAATCGATCACAGCACAATGCATGCCACTTAGATTTGTGTCTGACTTGATGCCGACTTGACATCATACACACGTGGGCAATGATAAGCTCACAAGATCAAGGCCGCAGTTTTTAGAAGAGATCAAAGAGCTGATTGGCTCTTAGTTTTGTCAACAAACACTAGGTTTTCCTAATTTTCTGTGTGATTTTGATATTTCACTCTAGATTGTAGATTGTTTCGTTTCTCATGTTATGCAATGAAGGTTTCATCTGTTAACAGACAGATGTTGAGTGGTTGATAATAATAAAGTTAATTCATATATCTAAACGTGCACATGAATGCAGCTTTTTGTCACCACCTCCAGCTGCTGCCCCCTGATCTCGTCCACTTTCCAGGTGAGGCACAGTTCATCCCAAACTAGCCTATTAGCAAGAATCCACTGGGCCTGAATGAAAACAACCACTCAGAGCTAAGAAATACAGTTGATTGTTGAGTCTCATTCAACAATCAACTTATCTTCAAGCTGCCCAACCCAAAGCATCTTTATATCTTTCTTGGCTTTGATGTTTTAGTTCAGGCCCGGTGGATTCTTGCAAATACGTTATAACGATTTAGAAGAACCTATTATTATGTGTCTCATGTACTACTGTCAGGACTTTAAAAAAAATAAGTAATTAGCAATAAGTAATAAATTACATCTTTTGTAAATTTAGGAAACAACTGGAATTTTATTTTGAATATAAAATCACTCAGACTTTACAATAAAGAAAAAAGATAATTAGAATGTAAAATAAATCAAACGATACAAAGATTACGCTGATGTTTTTACTGATGTTATGTTGCATGTTTGGTGGGGATGAAGACCTTTAAACAGTCATTGCTGCCAAAAACTGACTAATGCAGTGTTTTAGTCATTTAAATGTAACTACACTATTAAGTGTATTTCAGTGAAGGCTTAGAGGAAGTAACAGTATATGAGTGTGTTTTTCCAGCCTTCTGTGCACAGGAACTAGTGTTGTATTCTTTGTCTCTCTTTCTCTCTCTGTCCTAATCAAGAGAGGAGAGGTTACAGTATATGTGCAGCCAGGTAAGATGTGGTTTACTTCTTGACTCTCACAGGGAGCACAGTGCCTCACATCCTGTCCTCTTCTTCTCACCGTGTATCTGTCGCACTCTCTACGCACCCCCAACCCCTGCCACCGCCATGCCGTCTACATTACCAACACGCCCTCATCTGTACACCATCACTACCTGCTTCATCCCATCTTAACCCGTCTGTACACGCTGCTGAAAGACTGACAGTCTGCCTCTGCCCCCCCCACAGATAGTCCTCGAGAGCGACATCAACCAAGATGGTTTGCTGGACTTCAGCGAGTTCTCCCAGTACCTGCAGGCTCAGGAGAAGAGGCTGTGGTTCATGTTCCACAGCCTTGACCGCAACAATGATGGTGTGGGCACTCTAAACACCCACAAACACACACACACTAAAGTTCTCTGTCACTTCCTGTTATTATATCTATATATTGACTGACTGCTGTTTACAAAGGTGGTTCTGTTTTGTAGGTCAAATCGATGTGGGGGAGATCCAGCACTTACTGCGCAAGCTTGGAGTGGAGGTCACCATGGAGCAGGCCTCCAGAATACTGCAGAGGTATGCTGTGTGTGTGTGTGTGTGTGTGTGTGTGTGTGTGTGTGAGGGAGAGAGAGAGAGAGAGAGAGAGAGAGAGAGAGAGAGCGCCATTAAAGACAGAAAGTACCAGAAAAAACATTAAACCAAAAGGAAATATTAGTGTTTCCGTAGTCTTGGGATACCAGACGATCAGAGATCTCAGTGCATACTATTTATGTCCTTCTAAATGCAAAGTAGTTGCTTGAACAATGACACGAACACGGCGCTAACAAAAGCGTACGCCCATTACTTCCAGGACATGCCTGACCTGAAACAACACGCCTGCTTGGAATGAATCATTAGCAATTGCCACACAATGCATGACATCTATTAGACCCTCTGATTAGTGTTGTTGCATCTTTTAAGCTGAACGAGGTCAAACATGATCGGTTTTACTGGTGCATGAACCTCATGCGTTTTAAACCTGAGCAACAGAAATCCAATCAGCCAGATTGAAATCCCCTGTGAGGGCGTGCAAGCATGAAAACACTTTTTTTGTAAGCCTGGTCCTTATTGCAGGTTCAGTCCCCTGATGTGGGTTTAGACTGAGGAGCTATTTTTAATGTAGCAGGATTCTACTAAATGTAACTGTACTTTGAAAGCCATGGTCCAATGATTCAACAACACAAGACTAAGGCCTCTTTTTTGACAGAGGTAGAGTGGACCCCTGTTGAGTCAGTGTTGCACTTCAATAATAGTAGCACTAAAGAAAGAAATAACACAGAATTTTACACAGGCAAATTGACAGTTATACATACAATTTAAGTAGTTTTAGGGTAATGTATAACAGTGATTCCAAACCAGGGGAACCTGGAGCGCATGGCCTGGGAGTACGTGGAGCGTCTATAGAGTAGCTCAACCAATGTGAAAAAAATGAAATAATGATTTGATTTTAAAAATACATCAACAGAATGAGTCATCTATGTAAAATTATTTAGGTGTTATTGCAGTGCAGAGTGTGTGAATACCAGTAAGCCCAAGAACAGAGGAGATTAAATAGTTGATTAAAAGTCAGGGGTGTACGGGGGATGGGGTGGCACCTGAAATTTAAATTAGCCACCCCAATGCCACCCTATCCTTCCCTTTTCCACTCCACACTGTCCTTCAGAGGCTGTAGTGTGCTCTATTTTGAAGCTGGAGTGAAGATACTGGTATCATTTAAAACTAGCTGATTTACCACATCCATTGGGACCGTGTTATAATAGCATATCTGGCAGGGGGCTAAATAATGCTCCAAAGTTAGGCAAAATGTTAGTGATGGAAAAACTGGCATGGGCACTTTCAAAGGGATCCCTTGACCTCTGCGCTTAAATGATCTGAATGAAAATGGGTTCTATGGGTACCCACAAGTCTCCCCTTTGCAGACATGCCCACTTTATGCTAATCGCATTCTTGTGGCAAAAATGTGTTATTTTCTCATATTTGAATATTTCTGCATACTGGGGTCCATAAACGGTGTTGGAATTGCATAAATCAGGAATTTCTGGAAAGCTGAGACACATACGTCATGCCACCCCTGCATAGGTCAGTGCCCCACTTGAGCCCCCAGTCAAAAAAGTCTGGAAAAGCCCCAGTTAAAAGTAATGAATAAATAATTGAAATTAAAGTAATGGATAAATGGTTGGAAGTGGGAGGAGTCTTTTATTCAAGGTGGTGTGAGGACGATGAGGTGGAGTTGGAGAGCCTCACAGTCTGTGGCAAGAAGCGTTCTGAGAAATTAAGTATCTGAATTGTACTGTACTGTATGTGTTCTAATTTTCTGGTGCGACTCTCCCAGTATGGACAGGGATGGCACCATGACCATTGACTGGATTGAATGGCGTGATCACTTCCTGTTCAACCCTTTCCACAACATGGAAGATATTGTCCACTACTGGAAACACTCCCATGTGAGTCACCAGCTTCCAGTGATAGTGTTCAGTTTGATGATAATGACAGTGATAACATCCTGACTGTAAATAAAGCTTTTACACTTCTGAGAAGAGAAGTAGGACACACATAGTGTAACAAAATACAACAGGAGAGGACAGAATGGATGAGACTGAACACATAAGAGTGGTTAAACAATACAAAGCATAGTGATAATTAGTTGGTTTGTTCATCTATACCTTCAAGCAAATATGACAAAAAAATATTTTCGTAAAAGTTACCTACTACAGCTTTAGGAATATTTATACATTGGCATTGTAATGTGAAAAATATTTAGAAAAAACCTTGATATAGAAAAAAAAATGAAACCACACAAAATATAAATAAAATGGACTTTCGGGCTCTGTTAACAAAAATTGCACAATCACAAATATTAAACATGTGGCACAGGGGTAGGTTATCATTCAACAGTCGATATAGTGATGGTAGGGACAACTCTGCTGTTTATTCTGGCATCATGTCTGCTAACATGTTAAAATCAATATGGTGACAGGTAAAAAATACATATCATATATAGTTAAAAACGTAATTATTGCTATTGTGAGATTTGCCCTTTAATCTGTAATGTTGTCACAGATGTTTGACATTGGGGAACATCTGACGGTACCAGATGAGTTCTCGGAGAAGGAGCGACGGTCAGGTCTGGTGTGGAGGCAACTAGTTGCCGGAGCAATGGCAGGGGCTGTGTCCCGGACAGGAACTGCTCCTCTGGACCGTCTGAAGGTCTTCCTACAGGTAGGTCATTTCACTGCCACTCCCACTGATACACAAAGTTAAAGATCAGTGATGATGAAGGAACCGTTTAAGCCTTGAAGCTACGTGTTATACATTGTGTATAATAGTGACTCAGGAAATGTATTTTATCAGAAAATTGCCATAGGATATTGAATTAGCCAATGACATATTATACACAACCCCAATTTGTTTGGCTAATTCCATGAATCACAAATTTCAAGCTGACCTTCTAACTAATACTCCAGAGATAAGACCTACAGCTGCATATTATTACAATAAGAATATGTATGTCCACCTCTCCACAAACTGACTGAGAAAGAAAGAAATAATTGAATGTATAATGTTTGCCGAATTTACAAGAAATCATGAAGAATTTGTCATAGACAGCATTTCACAAAGTTTCTAAAGTTTCTCCTCACTCAACAACTCTGAAAATTGTGCGATCCTTAAAGGGAGTCCGGTGATATTGTGCTTACCAGTGTGTTCACAAACACCTGCTGCTTATCTTGGCAGGTACGAGAGCCCAAACACATATTATCCATTACATTCATTCAGTTTATGGCCTATGAACAGGTCAGTGCATTTCAATCAGTGAATGACTAAAAGTCTATATGCCAGCCTGCCAAGTATTTGCTTACAGCTGCAGTAGGTAATGTTTATAAAAATACGTTTTTGTTATATTCGCTGAAATTTTCACTACTGTCAGGATATAGTGAAAATTTAAGCACATATAACAATGTTCCACACCACCTTTGCAAGTCGTTTGAGTGTTGTGATCGCAATGCGTCTTGGTGGCCGTTAACACTTGTATTTAGAGCTTTCTTGTCACTTGCTATCACCCAAGACGTATGTTAATACCAGGTGGGAACAGACTTTGAGAGTGAAGTTCACTATATCCCTGAAATGCTGCACCAATATCTACTTACACTCACTCACAGAAATGGAACAAAGCACATGGTGGGTAGTTCAGGTGGGTGGTTGAAGCATTCCCAGCTAAAACACAGAGCAAGATTGGCTCTGGCTGTGTTGAAAGCTTGAAATGTCAGCAGTGATTTAGGTAACAAAAGAATGACTAGCATTGATCAGCAGCACCCATAAACCTCCTACTGATCATTATGATCTTTTTCTACTATAGCCAATGAGATATTGCTAATTGATTGCGGATTAAAGATTTAAACCCAGATAAATATCCGATGTGTCCTCATGTGGTTTAGTTGACTAAGAAGTTCACTGTATTTAGATGATAATATGTCAGTGTTGTTGAACTTTTCTCCACTGCCTCCAAGTGGCCAAAAATTGTATTTTATTTGTGCAGTATTCATTTGGTTGCAATCTGCAACTTAACCTCTAGATATCACTAACTCCTACAAACCGGACCTTTAATTTTCCCTAGCCGGCCAGAACAATACTAAAGTTGTATCAAGTCAAGTAACACCAAAATAGTAACCACTCTAAAGATGATCAATGTGGCTTTATTCACCAATCTGCAAAGTTCTACATTTAAGAAAAAAGATAGCATCAGCTGCATTAATATTTAAAAACCAGGAAAAGTTGTAGGCAACAGACCAAACTGAATGCTTGACTGTGGTCCAAGTCAAGAGAGAACATCCAGGCTAACCTGACGAACACCACTGGGTCAATTCATATTTTATAAGCTTGCAAATTTCGGTGACAACACCTCCTATTCCTTTGTATTCTGTGTTTTGTCCCGCAATTAGGATTTAATGTGCATACTAGCCTGCAGTAACATTTCAAACTAATTCCAGCGCACATTGTAACAAGATGACGGACCTGGCAGTGTTTGTGTGTCCAGGTACACGGCTCCGCTTCTAGGGGGATTAATCTGTGGTCTGGACTGAGGGGGATGGTACGGGAGGGAGGTGTCTTCTCACTCTGGAGGGGAAATGGCATCAATGTCCTCAAGATTGCCCCTGAATCTGCCATCAAGTTTATGGCCTATGAACAGGTCAGTGCATTTCAGTCAGTCAATGACTAAAAGTCTATATGCCAGCCTGCCAAGTATTTGCTTACAGCTGCAGTAGGTAACATTTATAAAAATAACTTTTTGTTATATTTGCTGAAATTTTCACTACTGTCAGGATATAGTGAAAATTTAAGCACATATAACAAAAAGTTATTTTTGTTACCTACTGTAGCTTTAATTCATCTTGGAACATCAAAAAGAAAACATTGTTACTTTAGAGCCAAACCTAATGGCTCACCCATCCCAGATAAAGTGGATGAATCTTGCATAATTTTCATCATGTCAGGATAATAAAATGATGTGCACACCTTTTCACTTTCTTTCTCTAATGTTATCTGTATATCACTGCCTCTCACTTTCATGCTTTGGGGCGGCTGTGGGCCAGAGGCAGAGCGGGTTATCCCCTAATCGGAAGGTTGTTGGTTCAATCCCCAGCTCCTGGTGCCACATGTCAAAGTATCCTTAAGCAAGATACTGAACCCCAAATTGCTCCCGATGCTGTGTATGAATTATTAGTTTCTGTTTGGTTTGTTTGTTTGTTTTTGTGTGTGAAAGGGTGAATGTGCTGATCGTGGTCCGAAGACTAGAAAGGCGCTATTTAAGTACAGGTCCATTTACCATTCCATCTTCTTGTCTTACTCTAGATCAAGTGGCTCATCCGAGGCAGTAAAGAAGGAGGCAGTTTAAGGGTACAAGAGAGGTTCATTGCTGGCTCTCTGGCAGGAGCTACTGCCCAGACCATCATCTACCCCATGGAGGTCAGTTTACAGTTTCTGTAACTGCGAAAGTTCATGATAAGATAGGTCACTAATAGAGGACTGTTAAAGTGCTTTCTGAGAAGATACAAGCATAATTCTAATTCTTCAGATGTAAGACTCATTAACCAAGGTTGGCATCCAAGCATCACGTCTCATTGGATTAAGGATGCGCTGGGCCGCTTTAAGTCATAGCTTCCTCTGCTCTGCATGAACGGAAGTGGTTTTCTTTTAATTGAAGCAAGTAGCAGCATAATGATAAAGCATACAAATAAGACTACAAGATTACACTTGCTTAGAACGCTGTGGTGACCCAGACCCAGATAAGCAGCAGAACATGATGAATGAAAAACATGCTGTTCCTTTGTGGATAAAAGAATACGCAGTCTAGTTCTGTCTCCTCCTGTGTCAACTAGAGAATAGTATCTTGTTCCTGTGTTCATTGCGTTCTTCTACCTTGGTAGGTGCTAAAGACTCGTCTTACGTTAAGGAAAACGGGACAGTACTCTGGTATGGCTGACTGCGCCAGACAGATACTAAAGACGGAGGGAGTCCGGGCTTTCTACAGGGGCTACCTGCCAAATACTCTGGGCATCATCCCCTATGCTGGCATCGACTTGGCTGTGTATGAGGTGTGTGTGTCTTTTTTAATGTAAGTCTTCTCCACAATGTGTATAGTACTGTAGTGGTAACCACACAAGATAACTATAGGAGGTCTGAACCAGAAAAATAGAATGTTTAGCTCATTAAATTGTTAGTTTGAGGGAAAAGTATCAACCTCCCAAGTAGGAAGTCATTGCTCTATATTTTTTCTTAGTCTGACCCTTAATACTTTCCAAATTCTCTAACCTGTCTGTGGCTCTTAGCTCCAAGCCCATTGGTTCACGCTGAAGCCCTTCTTAAATCCTATATTAGAGCTATAGAAATATAGTTTAATTTTTAAAAAGTGCTCAGTCATTTCCTGGAAGAGCTGTTATCAAACATTACTCAAACAGGAGGAAATAGTGCATTTGTTGGGGACTATTTTCAGCAGAAGATTAATAATTGGTGTTCTAGTCAGTATCTGAGGCAGCACTACAGCAGGAGTGAAAAAACACTTTTGTCTCATAGTTCTTAGATTTGATTCATCCATGTATTTGAGGCAGTTGTCAAATCAGCTAGCTAGCTTAAGGCAACCATTATGTGATGATGAAATAAATTAATTGTATTCATTTCCCCCTTTTCTTCCTTTTTCTTACCTTTTATAACCCTACTTCCCTCCTTTTTCATTCATTATTTTCTAATTTTTGAACTGCTCCTGCTTTAAGACTCTGAAGAACGCCTGGCTCCAGAGGTACTGTGTAGATTCAGCAGATCCAGGAGTTTTGGTCCTACTGGGTTGCGGTACCATCTCCAGCACCTGCGGCCAGCTGGCGTCCTACCCCCTCGCTCTCATTCGGACACGTATGCAGGCACAAGGTTAGACTTATTGTAAACACACTGAGCATGAACAAGGACCCAGCAATGAATCTGCTGCTTATATGTAACCTCCATCGTTTCTCTTCTTTCAGCCACCACTGAGGGTATACCCAAGCTGACCATGGTGGGCCAGTTCAAATACATTATATCTCATGAAGGTGTGCCGGGCCTGTATCGCGGCATCACCCCCAACTTCCTCAAAGTCATTCCAGCCGTCAGCATCTCCTACGTGGTGTACGAGCACATGAAGAAAGTCCTAGGGGTGGGTTACTAAACCGGGACAAACAAAGAGGGACTAATGGCAGAAAGGACAGTGAATGCAAGGACTCCATTATGCTTGTGAGAAGAAGCAGATGAGAGCTGCAGCTCCTCAGACCTCTGAAGAAAAAGAAAGGACGAGGAGAAAAGAGACATTTAACAGATGGGGATCGTACTGCTGTATGCTGCACTTCCTGTTGACTCAGTCACGTTAAAGCTTTTGTAGCTTCCAGGTAGTTCGCAGGTAGATCTTATTCATTTGTGGAATTTGGAGAAGAGAATGAGGTAAATGTTGATGCCACATACATACAGGAAAATCCCAGAGTATCTGGAGTTTAACAAACGTTTTGCACACAGTCAACCAGTAATATATGTAATACAAGTATATAAGTAGTTTGATTTGGCTGAAAATATTTTAGGGTCATATAAAGTTCTGAAATACAATCTGTGAAAAACAGGATTGACTGGTCATAGGATATCTGAAATACCATGGTAAACAGTAGAATTACCCAGCTCACATTAGGGTATTTACCTGACTGGCCAAAGAGTCGTGAGTGAGTTGTTGAATGATACATTGCGTTGCATCATAAGTTGATCAGGTTTGGTTCTGCTTGTATATGCTGAAGCCCTTTGCATTAGCAGCCCCCCTATACCAGTTCATTGGTGTCATTGAAATAAATGAGGGAGCTGTGTTTTGGTGTCGGTGTGAACACAGGCTGAGGCCGTATTCATATATATCACATCAGGCTTTGCAACACTTCCCACAGGGTTGTATGGAGGTGTTGGCGTGTTCATGCAGAAAATCATGTTTTATTTATGGGATTCAGCGGCTTTCTCATTACATCTGCTCCCTCTCTTCATTCTCTTCACTTTTTGCTGCAGGGTTGCTGCATTGTTGTTGTTTTTTGTATGGTTCCAGGAGTCCGGGCACTTATTATTTAAAAACCAATACACTGGTGTTTTGTTTCTGTGCACTCATCATTTAGTGAGAGGTTGAAGAGGCACTCCCCGCATTGTCAAAATATTGTTTTAGATTTGTTTTGTTTTTTTGTTTTTTTTGGGGGGGGGCTGTTTATTTTGGTCTGAGAAGCAACTTTCTACTTGAAAGAAGACCTAATGGCGATCAGGCCCTTTCTCACCATGCTTGCTGGCACATGTCTGGCTGCATATGTTGGTGTGTTACAGCCACCTGTTAATCAGTGGTGTAGTGTGAAACCATTGGCAGGACTGTGTATCACATCACCCACATGTGTGCACGTGTACTCTTGATCCTGGAAAAATAAGGATACAAGGTGATTTAATTGTCATCTTTACAACACAAGCTTGTCTAACTTTCGTGCTACTCATAAAAACAAAATATATTTATATACAAACATTCTAAAGTCATGAAACAAAATTCAAAAACTATTTTTCATGATGGAGTGCTGAGGATGAATTTAGCAGTCTCTCTGCTAAAGAAGAAGCTGTGCTTACGTCTGGTGATACGGCTGTGGATACTTCTGTATCTCTTGCCAGACAGCAGCGGGGTGGACAGGCTGTGAAATAATAATAATAATAACAATAAAAAAGTCCAACTCAAGTTCCACTTGCTTTTTCTGGAGCTTTCAACCCTATCACATAACTCTAATCCCTGAAGGACTGTGTGAGGCAGATGAAAGCTCTAGAAAAGTGTAGTGGACAGTAGGGATGCCATGGGTGCCAGAAAAGAGTAAGGGCTATGTATTTTTTCTTTTTGAAAAGTCAGCCAGCCAGCAGGTTAGAGATTCTGACAGCAGAAAGATGACAGAAAATGACAGAACAGACCTCAAATAATAAATGCAGTTCCTCTAATGGCCACTTGAGGCTGGCTCCAGCAGTGAGTCAATCTCCATAAGGCCAAACATTAAAATGCCCAACTTTACAGGTGAAATAAACATGTTTACAGCCTGGTTCAGCTAATATTCCTGTTCATGACAACTACAGGGGTGAATTTTCACTCCTTTCAATTATATTAAGGCTTAAAGTTATGCATAATTAAGGGTGCGCTTTGAGTGACAGGTTCGAAATACGGGGGGCCAGGCCTCTTATTCCGCGTTCTTTGAAAAAATTAAACATATTTTCATACAGTCCCTAATTAGACCTAGAGTTGGCATTGTTTTGTATTTCTTTCGTCAAGAATGAAGTTTTAGCTTAGTTGTAATTTGTCGGATCATACTGTATAATAGCCTAACATGTTCTGTTTTAGATATTCAACAGTGAATTTAGAATATTTTTCTCACATGATATTAATATGAACTGTCAGAGTTGGTGTAGAAGTAGGTAGAACACCCACATCAGGATCAGCACACAGCAAAAACAGGAGATTAAAGCTGGAGAGAACACATGCTGCTGCTGTGCTGCTGGCTGTGTCCACCTGTTTTCTGCCAGGAAACTGATGACTGAACCGACATGTAATATATCTTATAAAGTAGTAAAAAACTATTTTAAACAATTCGATTCCTTGTTCCCTGCACTGGAGCTTCAGCAAATAGCCTTAGCTGCAAGTGTCAGAATGTGGAATCAATTGCAATTTTAAGAGAAAAGATAAAAAGAAATCTGTGCATGTTTTTTTTTTTAACTTGAATGTGAACTGCACAAAACGTTTTATAGTAGCTCAGCTCTGAAGCAGCTGCATGTAAAGGGATACACGCCCACAGACTTGAAGAATGTGATTATTTGCATAGCAGGCAAAGACATATATCATCTATATTATTATGCTTATGATGCCTAATTCCCTAAAGAGTTTTGCCCCCTTCCTTGCAAGCATACTTGAAATGATGCTGGTTGCCACTGGGGCCTTGCAAGCATGATGTACGACATTTGTAAAGCATGAGTGCATGTTTCCAAGCCTTTTTGTGAAAGTGTAGCCAGCTAGCTTCAGTGTGTGAGGACTGTATTGCCTTTCTCCTACGAGCTATTTTCAACCCAAAAAGACAGAGCTGTCGTAGTGTTTGATAATGGACGCCACAAAAAGAGCTTTCTAGTTTTGATAAATAATAGTGTATGTCAGTTGAATGTGCAGTGCACTTTACACGCCTCAGTGATGGTATCTGTGACATTGTACAAAGAAGAGGGCTCTCAGTGTTCATGACGATGATGGGATGAGGTATTTTTGTTATCCAACCTAGAAGTGAGCATCACCATGGTTCCATTTGTCGAAATATTGTACTATTTACAGCACCACATTTAGTTTAGTTAGTAGTTAGTTACTTTGCAGATTCACATTATTAAAACAAGATACAAACTGACAACTGACTGATAAGTTATTGACATTTGGTACTTTAAAGCTGCAGTAGGTAATGTTTATAAAAATAACTTTTTGTCATATTTGCTGAAACTTTCACTATATCCTGACAGTAGAACACGAGACACAGTGTTTCCTCTAGGATTTTTCTTAGCAGTGGGGGCAGGCCCACGCCGGCAAATGTTTTACGTATGAAATAGAAGTGACACTTTGCTGCGGCACAAACAAATATATTTACAGTTTTAATGTTTCCAGATGTTTGATATCAGGACGTTGAGCTGAGAACTGACAAGTTGAACGTTGTCCAATTAAAACGGACCCACCGCGGTGACGTTTGTGGTGGAGCTGTTAGTTTAATAGTCGACTTGGAAGAAAGTGAACGTTTTGACAATAAGCTCCATCAACACAACAGTATGTGGAGTTAAACTGGACAGCCCCAATAACCTCTGAATAGTTCTACTTGTTGTTAAACTGCAATGTGAGCGGCAGCCAACAGGGGGTGCATTATATCGGCAGGATCATTTAAAAGGCAACCGTGCCTACATTGTGCGTCTGCCCCATTTCTGATACCGTGGCGGCAGAAATTTAACAGCGGCTCCAAATTCAACATAGAGGAAACACTGGAGACAGATACTCAGTGAATATCAGGTTCCTCTGGCTCCTCCTAGTGCTTTTAATATCCTAAACAAAAACCAATCAGAGCCAATAAAGATATAAAGGTGCTTTGGGTTGGTTGGAGTTGATAGTTGAGTCTCATTCCCAGGCTCCCAATGCGTCTGTATTTGAGGCCCTGGGAATGAGACTCTTCAACTATCTAAGATCTGAGTACTTTAATTGTATGTTGAATTAAATGCTGCATAATAAAACTTTATTATTGTTATTATTATTACAGATAGAGGCAGCTGCATCAGGCTAAAGTAGCACATTTTCAAATTATTTTATTTTATCTGCAGTCAGAAACATTTTGAACATCGGATCTGATAATCAGCCGGACTAATAATTGGCCTTTCCATACTGTGTAGTTTCAGTTAGCCACTTGTTAGCAACCGCCTTTTTAAAGACACGTAAAAGCGTTCACAGGTGGGGTTATTTACTGATGAATTTTATGTCGTAAAGCAAAATGTGAAAATTTCTTAAGCTTGTGTTAACCACAGACTTTACTGACTTTGTGGCGAGGGAACCAGCGGTGCTAACTCAGTTCTGGGTTTTGGAACTCATTCGTGCACTACTCTTGCACATGGTCACCTTTGAAGCCCCGCTAATTCATTTCTGGCCACTTGGGGGCAGTGGAGCAAGCTGTAAATACAACACTGACATATTGTCACCTAATAAAGCTGTCATGTGTTAGCAAACAGACAGTAACATTAGCATTCATTTGGAGCCATGTTTGTGTTCATCTGCTGACTGTCAGTCAAATGCAATAGACCTTTTTCACAGCAGCCATTTTGACATGAAATAGTAGGGTAAACACAGGTGTTACTAATGATACTGATTAAGTTCCATTCAGCCTTAATTAGTATCATTGGTAACTGTTTCATGTCAAAATGGCTGCTGTGAAAAAGGTATATAGAAATTGGGATGGGGGGGGTTGGAAGGGGTTATTTTGTCTTTTTGGAGGATAGTCTTAGTTTCCTGAGAGCAGAGGAAGGTATTTCTTTTGTTTTTGTTTTTTGACCTTTGTGTTTTTATTTATATTTAAATTCAGCTTTCCCTTGCAACGTGTATGGTAAACAGGTGTGGGTCATAGTATATAAAAATGATTTTCATACATTTCTTTGTCCTCATTGACTACAACAGCAGTGATCTCAATGCCGTACTCAGAAAGAGCACATACATCTAAAGGTTGTTAACAAAATGTAAATGACCCACTAATAAAAAGTAAAGAGGAGAGAGGTGCGGAGAATTAAGAGTATTAAGAAAAACACTAAGTTTCTACATCACACTGGACCAGGCTGTGGTGGTGAGGCCTGATCACATCATTTCTGTTAGCAGGTTTGATATTGAAAAGTACAAAGAAAAAATGGCTACCTGGTCACTGTCATCAACTTCAGCGTTCAGGAAAACTGTAAAACAGTTGACAATGTCCCATCCATCGCAGTTATTGCCCACGGTGTCAGTCCTGGAGGCAGTGCTGTTAGTGCTGACAGCACAGAGAACAGTCAGACCAAAACCTCTTCAACCCTGCCACCTAGTGGTTAAGCTCAGTACTGTCACATACAGTATCCATACAGTATGTACATACATTATCCTGTTCAGAGTCAGAGAAATAAATAAGTGAGACCTGCAAGGTAATAACAGCACAGGAACTTAAAGCTGCAACAAACAGTATTTTATATATTAACAACAATCTTCACCAATAAGTTGGGTAGCCTGTATGCCATTTTAGTCTAAATTAAATGCATAAATAACATTTATATAAATACAACCGGCTTGATTTACAAAAGTCTCACCAAGGAGCCAACTAATTCACGAACAACACATCACTATGAACAATGTACAAATAAAAATATACAAAAGAAAAAGCCATCATTTTCATTGACAGCACTGAATGAACTCTGACTTGTATCTTCTGAATTGTCTGACTCTTCATTGAAGTACAGAGGACCATCTTTGTGGAACAATCGACTTTCATCACTACAATATCTATCTCATCTTTATGAAAAAAAAACATCTCAAAATGTCTTTAATTAGCACAGATTTATCACACTTCATGGATCTCAATCTAATGTATTTCACCTGGTATTATAATTGTACATTTCTATTAGTATTGTATTTCAGCTACTTGAACGTTGCATTAGTTACACAACCTTTGTTTTTATGTTAGTGTTCTATTAGATTTATAAAGGGGAGGTCACTTCTTAAGAGCTCTCCTGCACATTTTTCAATTCAATTCAATTCAGTTTTATTTGTATAGCGCCAATTCATAACAGAAGTTATCTCAGGACACTTTTCAAATAGAGCAGGTCTAGACCGTACTCATACAATTATTAAAATTGAGACCCAATAGTTCCCACAATGAGCAAGCACTTGGCGACGGCAGCAAGGAAAAACTGCCTGTTAAGAGGCAGAAACCTAGGACAGATCCTTCTGCTCTAGGTGGGTGGTCGACAGTTGGGGTGAGAGAGAGAGAGAGACAGGGAGAGGAAGAGGGAGAGAGAGAGAGAGGGAGAGGGCAGATAGAGGGGTAAAGAGAGAAAGACAGACAAAGGTGCACAACAACAGTAGCAACAACTATACAAATAGAATGTCTGACGATGATGACAACAGCCCCAACGATGTTCTTTCTTTTAAATTCTATTGTCTATATATATATATATATATTAATAATAATATATATATGTATATTTTAATGTTTGCGAAAATAATAAAATAATTACACTGCATGTGTGAAAAGCAAACAGAAAATGCAGAACGACCCTTTACTATGTCTCTTTCCAGGAATCATGCACAGACCTTGTTGTAAGCAGTTTCACACGGAACTAGTTTCATAATCTGACCATAAAATAATAAAGGCACAATTCAGACACAATGAAAACACTGATCTCTTTATTGCTTCAACTGCTGTAAGAACGTCTTACAGAGAAATCCAAAACACACTGACATTTAAGCACAATCACTCCGATCAATCTGAGGAAAGGCACAAAAACGATATAAAAAGAATGGTCCGCTGGAGAGACTCGCCGCAGCCTTTTCAGTCTCGAACACTGATGGTCTGACAGAGTGCTGGAGCGCAGTGAGCTGTCCAACATCAGGCTGAAAACAAAGAACGAGCCAGCTTTCTGAGTGCTCCACATACTCACACTCAGTTATTGCTCAGTCAGAAATACTGTGAAGTTACCAGATAAAAACAAATACAGTACCAAGTCAAAGTGATACCATACTGTACATATGGCAGATGGGTACAACCCTGCTAAGTTAAGACATCTTAGACAATTAACACAGAGTGATGATGGGTGGTCATTCAGACTTAAATGGTAAATGGACCTGTACTTGTATACTGTGTGAGGGGCACTGCAGGATCAAGATACACATTTCTATAGCAAATGAGCGTGATTGGTCAAAACGCATGGCCACCATCCATCAAAATATGGTCACTAAGGGCGGGGCTTAGAACTTTTGGGCATAACTTTTTGATCATCTGTCCAATCATCATGAAACTTGGTAGATGTCTTCAGGTCGTGACTCGGAAGAGGTCTATACAAGCATTGTGGACTTGATCCAAAGACTGTGCCGCAAATGCCACCAATGCCACAAATGCATACCGGGTAAAAATCTGAAGTTCTATACGGATAGAAGGAAAAGGGGGTGTGGCCTATAACATAGTTTCTCAAGATGCCTTTGGGCAAATTCTGATTAAGCGCACTGGAGACATACCAGGCCAACTCCTGGAGGTAACCACCAAGTTCCATTCAGATCAGATAAAGGTAGGGCCCAATGGTGGGACTTACTGAACGAAGGCAGGCTTTGTGATGATGAAATCGGTGTCTGATCAGTCTGTCCTTCTTTAAACAGAATTAATCTGTATGAAGTGATGTTGTGACGCTTTCATTTTTGCCGATTGAGCTGCTTCTTTCTGTTGAGCACAAAATGGTTTGAACGCGCTCATTACCACTTGCGACTATACATTTTATTTCTTTTCTAGGAGTTTCATAAAAATTTAAACCACCCTTTCATATACAATTAAAATAAAAACACTTTTTATTATACTTATTTCTTTTGGCCTTCATTTGTTGTTTGTCTGCAAACCATATAAAAATGTATAGAAACTGCTGTTTGCATTTTTTAAGTACAACATTAGTAACGGAAATATTTCCAGAATATTGCTCTTTCTTGTAGTACTTGAACCTTGAAGTGGTCCTCCTATGAGATGACAATACCCGCAGTGGCCCCAAGCCAATCTGAGTTTGAGAGCCCCCATATGAGAGCTGCTGGGACATTTCAGTCTGCTAGCATGGCTAAAAACATCCTGACAAATAGAAAAGAGCAGCAGCAAACAGGTAAACCTTTAGGTGTACCGCTTGACAAACATAAAGCTTCTTCGTCAGCATGAAACCATCTGTCACAGGGTCTCTGTGAACACTGAAGATCTCCAGAGCAAATTAAGCTACTAACTGTGCGCTCACACTGTCCACGTTTTTTGTAGATTCTGAAGCATTTTACATTTTTATGTATGAATCACATTTTACAGCCAATGAGTGAATGGGTTGTAACGTCATTTCAAAAAGGAACCTTCCCTGACATTGTCTGCTGCCTGTGGATTGATTAATTTGTGTTTCTACGTAGGGATGAGGGTTGGATTTTCAGTCCCGACTCTCCACTGCCCTAGAGTTTCAACAGTGAGCAGCACTAGCTATCATTAATGTATAAATGGAGTCCGCTAACATCTACAAATGGCCGACAGCCACCACAACACAGAGTCCAAAGTCAAAGCTAACATTACTGCAGAGCTTGTAGAACATATTGTGAGGCTGTGGTTGTAGTGGACTAATGTTAGCTTACACGGACAAATTACTAGCTAGCTAACATAGCAAAATAATCAGCTAGCTCCACCAGACTCCCGGCTAGTTAGTAGCATGGAGCTAATGGTCCAAATAAAATATAAGAACACTGCAGATAGTAACATTATTCTAAATATGACTGTCATTTATTTTCCTGTCACTTTCGGCCATATGGAGTGAGCAGCAGGACGCTGGCTGCAGTTAACTTAACGGCCACTGGTGTCACTATTAACATTTCTTTGAAAGTTACATATAGAACCTTTAATACTGCAAAACTGATGTGAAAATATTTTGGGTAGGTCATTTTTCTTTGAATGTGCCACATGTCAGCTTACACTATGCTTATTTCCTTTCACATTTTTATATCCTGTCTTAATTTGACTCATCTTTTATCTGTTAAGTTTCACTGTGCTTCATATTTTGTCTAGATGATTTAATGTCATCTGTATATTTTATACAAATGTTCCCATTTGAATTATCTAAATGTTTTATCAGCATGTTTTAAAATGTGCTCTATAAACACAGACTTGTCCTGTTGTGATCAGTGCTTTTATATCTCGTCACTGACCTCGAACTCACAGTGTGAACGCACACTCAGTCACACATATGCTGTTAATTCATTTCAGCAGCTGTAAGTTCAACGCAAACTCCTATTTGATATTGTAATAACAGCTTCAGGTGATGAAGTCACACAAACTAATCCTATCTTCTGAGTACATGGGAAAAAATGAAATAAATAAAAAAAGAGTAACAGATGTATTGAAGTGATCTTGTGGCTGTGGTAACATATGTGAAAGAGAGACTAAAGTAGGAAAATAAAGCAGATGTGCGTTGGTGGACCCTGCAGTACAGAGGAAAGGAGGGTCTGAGTGCAGACGAGCTCAGACAGAGAGGGACACGAAGCTGTTGTACTGCTCGATGTTTCTCTTCAGGATGTCGGAGCAGGGACCCAGGACTCGCTCGAACCGCGGCCGGTCCAATTTGACACACTTGAGGGGTCCACATGCAACAACAGTGGCAGCGCGGGGCCGGTTCATCAGCAGGGCGATCTCACCTGAAAGATAACAAGTCACACAAGGTTCACATATCTGATGCTGATGGTGTCCTGCTTTGGTCTTTTTATATATTTGGGATACTTTTTAAAAAATCCACAATATCTAATTCTAACAGCAAGGCTGTGTTAGCAACTAGCTGCTCACACTGATAAAGTGGCTGCACTGTAGATGACATGTCTGTCCGACTTACCAAAGTAATCTGACGGTCCGAGTCTGCCGACCTCTACGAACTCCTCGTCCTCTGACCGCCTCTGAAGCACTGCTGCTGTCCCCTGACAGCACAACAAACACATCTTAAAGTACACATCCCAGAAAGCAACAGCAATTTTCAGGAAATCCAGATCCAAGATGCAGATGGGCTGATTATACATCCCAGTTTCTCCAGAAAATAGCCACTGGAGCTGCTGTAGTGTTAATGGTGGAATGATGACTCAGAAGAAAGAAGCAGCCTTCATTTGTTGTAGGTTAAATTAGGGCTGGGCAATTTACCATTCTGATCATCAGCGGGATGAACTGACATTAATCTTTAGTTTCACACCATACACCACAGAACGTCCTACACCAACCAGTTTGGGCTTCCACAAGGTGGTGCGTACCTCCAGGATGATGAAGAACTCATCGCCGGGCTCTCCCTGCACCACAATTTTCTGGCCATCCAAAAACTGCACCGTCTCCAGAGCGTCTGCCACCGTCAGACGCTCCCACTTATCCAGAGACTCTGTTCGGGAGAGACACTGGGCTCAACGCATACACTCATCTGGATATAGCAGGTCAATGATGAACTGATGAGACAAGTTCTCACCTAAAATGGACACCTTGCTGAGGAACTCCTCGTACATCTTACGCTTTCTCAAAGTGCTCCCCTAAAACAGAGAATAATCACGCCACAATTCATCATTTGCCATAACTGTGTGGTCAGATTTTCATTTTCCAGGACTGCACAGTTTACCATCAGTATTCTTCTGTAGCTGTCTCTGTCGATGCCCCACAGCTTCACATTGGACTTGGCCCGGACTGTAGCTGCCCGAGGGGTCCCATAAATCAGAGCCAGCTCCCCAAAACTGCCCCCCTCGCCAATGCTGGTCACCCATTCGTTGTTCACGTAAACCTAGAAGGAGACAGATAGCAGAAGTAGCAATTGGTTTCTAATGACGTGGCATCCATCCATTAGAGCTACCATATGACCCTATGGTAGTCTGGGTGGAGGGATGAGTGTGATACCATTCTATGCTTCGTATCTGATCAGCACTGCCTAACTTGACGGACTCACTGAGAATGAGCTGTCAATCACAAGGTAGCCCCGCCCTAAAGCATACCCAGCTTTATGGTCTGTTTTACTCTAAATGGGACCATCAGTTACTAAATGAACATCATGCTGTATGGAAGAAGACTGAAACTAGAGACTGAGACCAGAAACTCATCAGGAAACTGTTTACTGAGATAATGAATCAAGTCAAATGTAGGATTATTTCTTCATAAGGCTCAATACTATCATACTTCTTTTGCAGCCAATGGAGCTGCCCCCTGCAGGTCATTAGAAAGAATGCAGGTTTAAGACACTTCTGTGTTGGCTTTACTTGACAGACACAGTCCACAACACACTGTCAATGGTTCACCACTATTTTTGGGCCACTTGGGGGCAGAAGAACAAGCTGATACACAACTCCACAGAGCAATGTGCTATATCTGGCTGTTCGCTCTTAGTAAAATGAATTCATTGTTGGTTTTAGTTCTCCTTTAATGTTTCCCTCACTGAACAACTACAGCACATCTAGCAAATGAAGTATGTCAAAGAACACTTTTCAAATTTTCATTGACAATGGCGGATGTTTTCTGGAGTGTAAAACTGCACAAAAAAAAAAAGAGAGCTTACATCCATCTCTCCCTGGTCGATAACATAGAAGTTGTCTCCCTCGTCACCTGGAACAGTAGGAACAGGAGTCCCGTGAATGAACAAATGAATGAATGGAAGAAAAACACATAAAAACAACTAAAATGGGGTTTTAACTCACCTTGTTGGATGACTGTTTCTCCAGCAATGTAGTTGACAGAAAACATTGCGTCAAAAATGTCACTGGAGGGGCAGAAAATGAGGTGATTAGCTGGACATGCTTTGGAGAGGATGGTTGAACTAGCGAACTGATTGGTGCCATTACCTCCTCTCATTGTCGTCCAGATGGGCAAACAGCACGTTTTTCTCCATGGCTTTGGCCAGGGCGGCCATGCTCTTGTAGTCTTTTGGGATGACCTTTGGTTGAAAAAAAGCTTGTTTAGATACTTATTGTACATTTCAGTGAATACTGATACTGCCACATAATAGAATCAATATTGCTATGATTACACATGTCAAATGGCTGGTTTGTGTCCTCAAAATGACCCTGTTCTGCTATTACACAACATTGCATTAGTAGATACTGCTGCACTCACATTGAAGTTTTCCAGTTTTCTTAATGTGTATATTAATACTAATGAGTATCTTAAAGCTACATTCATTGAATTTTTGGCCAGTTGGGGGCAGCAGAACAAACTAAAAGCAAAATATTGGACTTATCATCACCTTATAAGTTATGCTAAACTTGTTTTATATGTGCTAGGATTCGTCTATGTTGAAAAGACAACCTGGTTGAAAGATAAAAGCGACGTTGATAGTCACATCTTAACTTAGCTAATGTTAGCAAAACTTTAACTAACAATTGATACAAATTAGCAAAATAGTTAGCTACCAATTGATGTAGATTAGTCCAGCCCCTTTTTGTTCCGTGCTCCAATAACAGTTGAGCAAGAATTGGTCTGAACCTCAACTTTCTCCTTTCCTGTACTTAGATACTAACTAGTTAACTAGCTAGTTATCAATTCATTCATATGTTGCTTTTATCTTTTAACCATCTTCAAAATGGGGATGTCTTTGCAACATAGAGAGCCTAGCATATAGCATATCTTTAATAAAGGAAAGGAGAAAGTTGACCGAGGTTCTAACCAAGGCTTACTCAACTCAAGCACAGAACAAAAAGAGGCGGGGCTTAAGAAGAGTTACTTGTCAGTTGAGAGAAAGCTGATGAGAGCAAAACCAAAATATAAGCAAAACACGCTGAAATACTTGCTGACATTTCTCTGTGGGTTCATCACAATAAACATCACATAACACGCTGTGTATCAGTGTTCAGTATAAAAATATTGATGGGTTCAGCTTTAAGGGCAGCATGAAGGTGTGTAAATAAAAATATTAAAGTTATCAGCGCTGACCTTTCTGACATAGGAAGCAGCGTCTTCCTCGGTGTACACCTCAGCACTGATGGCTCCTCTCCGGCTGCGACCCCTCACCACAGGGTTCATAGGTGGAGATACTTCATCCTCACGGGAGTCTGACCGCAAGCTGGACTTCTGCTGCAAAGCCATCTGCTGGGCTTCTTCCTGCTGGGCGACACAAAACCTGAGGCACTCAAAGAATAATAGGCTGCTAGTAAAGAAAGTAGGTCTTTAAACTTGAATGAGTACATTATGTTAGATTTTACATTACCTTTATATTACCAGTAAGTCAAATAAGTCGGTGTCATCTAAAGGGGTTTCTTATAGCACCAATATCTGAGAGAGCCTTTGCGGTCACACGTGTTTGCACCCACCTTTTCCAGTCTTTCAAAGTAGTCCCTGAGGAAGGCCATGGGCCGGTCGGGCCGGGCCGTGCACAGCTGGATGATGCAGTCCTTGAGCAGCAGCTGAATGTTGTGCTTCTGGACATATTGCTCGCACTCCCTGAGGCTCCGCTCCTCTTCGCTGCTCGTACTGCTTGACGCCATCTTTGACCTGGAAGGAGATGAGATGGAAACATATCCTCAAATCAGGAAGCAGTTTCCTGCCATTCTGCAACTGTAGTTACATTTTATTTTAAATATTCAATTTCCATTCCCCAAAATATCAGAAGAGAACATCATGTAAACCTTTGTTTCAGTGGTTTCATGCTGGTTTTCCCATCAGGTTAGCAGATAAAAGTCACCCAACAGGCTTTTAAAGTGTAAGCAAATACACACTAAAGAGTAGAGGAGGGAGGGAAGGAAGAAGACTGCCCTCCTATACTACAACTGGGATGATGATTAAACATTAACACACACATCAGTGGTCTGGTGTTGGTTCAGTTATGTGACTCTAAACAAATTTCCCCTAAAAAATATATCGATGTAAACACAAGAGATGATGCAGCAAAGACTTAAGACTGCCTACATATGAGGCTTAATTATCAACTGAGTAAAGCGGGCAACTGCTTTGTGACTCAACACCTCCAGGACCCTCAAAAGTCACAGATTCACTGTGTATTCTACAGTATTTAAGTAGGTGTATATTTGTTTATCAATTCTCTGTATGCAGTGTACTGGATGGGAAAAGCGAGCATACGCAAAGCGCAAACATTGTTTATTGACCTGACGGGGCCCAACAGCAAATGTTAGCGCAGTGGCCCACTAACAATTTAACATAGCCATGCCACATTTACTAAAATACTGTACTTAAAGCTGCAGAAGGTAACTTTTTGTCATATTGTATTTTTTATTTCTTTTCCTAATTTTGTCAAACTTTCACCAACAGATAATCTATGAAAGAAATCAGGTTCCTCTGGCTCCTCCTAATGGTTTGTGCAAGAACCCACCGAGCTTGGGTTGAAAACAACCAATCAGAGCTGAGAAAGACAGTCAACTTTTTTTTCCTCAAGTTCATCATCATCTTCACCATCAGTCACTACTATTAGTGTAGTTGTTGCTACTGTTGTTGCTGTGCACCTTTGTCTCTGTCTTTATCCTTCTGTCGTTACCCCTGTTCTCTCTCTCTCTCTCTCTCTCACCCCAACTGGTCGAGACAGACGACCACCCACCTAGAGCCGAAGGATCTGTCCTAGGTTTCTGCCTTTTAACAGGCAGTTTTTCCTTGCCCTTGTCGCCAAGTGCTTGCTCATGGTGGTACTGTTGGGTCTCTGTAAATAATGTTATAAGGAGTTCGGTCTAGACCTGCTCTATTTGAAAAGTGTCCTGAGATAACTTCTGTTATGAATTAGCGCTATACAAATAAAACTGAATGGATGAGTCTCATTCCCAGGTCGTCAAATACAGAGGCTGGGAATGAGAATTAACAATCAAGTATCTTCAAGCCACAAACCCAAAACGTCTTTATATCTTTCTCTTATATATTATCCATTAGGAGCACTATGAGGAGCCAGATAAACATGATTTTTTCACAGATTATCTGTTTCATGTACTACTGTTGAATTGGGGACACAGCTAATTTCAGCAAATATGTCAAAAAGTTATTCTTAGAAATGTTACCTACTGCAGCTTTAACGTGGCCATGCCAAAGTGGGCTAGAATCAAAGAAACCTTCAATACATTTGGGTAAAGGGCATTTTTCTACAGTAAATCCCATTTACTAACTGACACTGTACTTAAGTTGCAACACTAAAGTTAATTTTACACAATAATGTATTAGTAAAGATAATCCAAAAACATATTGTAACCAGAACAGTCTCTCTGCATAATGATACTAACTTATATATAACGTTATATGATAATGATATTTAAGTACATTGTGCTGATACTTTTGTACTTTTAAAGTAAAGTCACCTCCAAATGGTACTGTAGTTAGGGATGGAGAGATTCACGGATTTAAATCGGTGGCCCGAGACAGACGTTTGCGATGCGAGTGCACCGGTAGCTTCAGTGTGCATCGGATATAACTGCCGGCTAAATGCGCAATGTATCTTTCTTTGTGTGTCTGCATCAGTAAAACCCATGGTTACATCGATTATTACATAGTTTATCTCCTCTGCACCCGTGTTTTCGAGGCGCCTTGAATGCACCATCACTATCTTTTTGCGCGGCGCCGCAGACGCAGTTAGTTAGTAAACAGAAAAAATGGAGGGAAGCCGAGATATTAAGCGTACCTTGAACGACACACAAGTCAGCTCAAGCACATCAGTCTGGCAGCAGTAGTATGGGCACTGCACTATGATGAGGTTATTTGCACAATGCACATTGTTGATGTTGGGAAGTTTTATAAGTGTTTTGTAAAACATTGTGAAATTACAGACAGAGAACACTATTAGTAAAAGGACCTGAGAAACGTACAGGACTGTTTGCTTTGTTTTTTTTCATTAAGAGGCCAAAAAGAAATTGCCCAAATACAATACATTTAGTGTTGTATAAGTAGAGAATGAGATTAAAAACACATGTAATGAAAAAAATATTTTTTGTTTCTGATTTAGTGTTTATTAGGAATAAAACAATCCTCTGTCTGTACCATATTGAATTGCATCTTCTTTTTAAGTTGGATTTATTGGTTTGCTTTATAGAAAACAATCAAGTATCAAATACATTAGAAACCAGATGTGGGCTTGTAAATTCTTTGTATTGTGTTGAATCGGTTTGAATCGCATCATGAATCGTATCGAACCGAATCGCATTGTATAAAGTCAAATCGTTGTCAAATCATTAATGAATCGTATCGCATCGTGAACAGAGGTGAATCGTATCGCATCGTATGGGCAGGGGGCTCCACTCTATCGTTAATGTATCGTATCGCTGGCAGCGTATGGAGATGTGTATGGAATCGGCCTCAGTGGTGGGGATTCACATCCCTAACTGTAGTTAGATGGTTGAGCTAACGTTAGCTTAGTAAAAGGTATTTCCTCTGACATACAGAGAAATAACAGAATTAAATGTTAGCTTAGTAGCTAAGCTAGCTACCAACGAGTTAAAATAAGTTACCTCCAAATAGTACTGTAACGTTAGTAACGTAACGTTAACTTTTAACGTTACTTAACAGTTCATTAACGTTAGTACGTTAGTTAACGTTGACGTTACTCAGCTTAACGTTACATCAAACGTTTTTTTGTCACTTATTAACTGTTAATGTTTCAGTAAAGTTAACATGCTAACGCTACGAGCTGTTGGCTGTACAGCACAAACAGTCAGTGCGGTCCTCTTACCAACTGTTAGCTAACGTTCTAACGTTCTACACCTGAGGAGTTCTCATCATTAGCCATCTTGGATATCAACTACTTCAACTATCGTAGCGAGCTAGCTTAGCTATTAGCCTCCCGCAGTGCCTTCTGAAAACAATACGACAACCCCCACCCACAGAACCCCACTCACAGACCCCCACCCACAGACCCCCACCCACAGACACAAACAAGAGCCAAGCGTTGAACAAAAGCATGCACAATGTGACAGCTATTCACAATGTGTACACTAACATTACACCAAACTCCTCACCTCGATCTCAAATGACGTGTGTGCTGCTTGTTTTTTTTTTTTCTTCTTCTTCTCTTTTTTTTTTTTAATTCTTTATTAACAGTACAACTGAGTACAACACATACACCACTACAAATAACAGAACAGGGAGTACTGGAAAAATTCACAGAGTTCATACATACATATTACATAATACTAAATCAAGAGATAGCAAAAACAAACAGAAATACATTTGGAAAAAAAGTGAATACATTTAAGTAATCTAGTAATATTGTCCATAGTATTTCTCAGAAGATGAGATGTCTATAAAGCTTTCCTGTTTTTGACAAGAGAGTAATAAAGTAAAGTTGTCACAGCAATTTTATCAAGTCATCAATTTCATTGTTATTACATTCTGCATATAAAAATAAAACCATACTCTCTGTAATAAGTAGTAGCTTGTTCTTTTACCTTGAAAGCAGAGCACTACTTCCTGTACTGAGTAATAGTTTGATTATGCTATCTCTGACTTATAGTAATATTAGATCTGGTTTCATAATGGAGGACAGTAAAATGTACAAATGTACATTTCTAAAAACTACCCCTCACTTTACAACATTGCTGAAAGAGCTGTCTCTTTAGTTGGATTCATTGAAATGGATCTAAAGCCCAGTGTCTATTTTAATAATTGTCAGTTTTATCTTTTGATTGCACCTCTATGGAAGCCCATTTCTGCCTATGTAAAATTACTCTGTACTTTGAGATACTAAGTCATTATTCTGAGATACTAAGTCATTATTCTGAGGAAGTGTTTCATTATAATAACTGACAGAACCCTTTTCTTCCCATCACATGGGCTTTCGGAATGATCTCTCTTATATACCATCCAGTATATCCAAGAACACCTGGTTACCTCCTCTGTAGATCACATGTGAAGGCCTTAGGCCTTCCTCAACACAATGGTCCTTTGATCTGACAGTGTGACTTATTGACAGATTCTTAGCAGACTTCCCCCTACCATAAAAATCCATAACTCCCTAAACCGAATTTAATACATTTATTACCCCATCTAAAACATTCATCTCCCACGACTGCAATCTCAACTTTTAAGGTACATACCGCCACCTACTGTACCGGAGTATGTATAACAGGATCTAGTTAAGTCTACATTGGTCTATAAATGTAAAATACAAAAGATAAAAAAAGATAAACATAGGCGTTTTAAAACAAAAACAGTAGTGTGGATGTAGCCTCAGTATTATATCACTGTAATCTTTAGGTTTTGGACTGTCGGTTGAACATAAAAAGCTATTTGAATATCACCTTTGTCTCTGGAATATTATGTTGGACATTTGTCACTATTTTGTGACATTTTATAGAAAAAAAAACAATTTATCAATAAATTGAAAAAATAAATGGCAGATTAATTCATAATTGTTTGTTGCATCCCTAAATAACTCAAGTCATATTTGCTTAAACTTTTACTACAGTATTACATGAGACAGATAACCTGTGAAAAATCAGGTTCCTCTGGCTCCTCCTAGTGCTCCCAATGGTATTTGTACAAAACCTCTGGGCCTGAACTAAAACAACCAATCAGAGCCGAGAAATATATAAACACACTTTGGGTTGGAGGCTGGAAGATAGCTGCTTGTTGAGTCTCATTCCCAGGGTCTGTATTTTAATGAGACTCAACAGTCCACTATCTTTCTTTACGTGGATTCTTGCAAATGTCTTTAGGAGCGCTAGAAGGAGTCATTGTTTCACTATCTGTCTCATGTTCTACTGTAAATGTATTTTTTATAAAAAATGACCTACTGCAGCTTTAAACTTTATAGTCAAAATGTAATACTTAAATCACTGAAGTAGAATAAGATATTTACT